ATGTAACAAATGCTAGAATATTAAAACAACAACACACAATTATAAAGTGCAGAAATGAAATGTTTCAGTTTTTCGAGATGTGAAATGAGGAAAATCACAAATGAGGAAAATCAATAAAATCCATGATGCTGCATCAGTTTCAGGGTCTTTGTTTTTTGCGTGCTGTCAAATGTTTAGAACTGTGCCACATTTATGTTATCAACACCACCTATGATTTTCTGACTGTGACAAGTAAAAATGTTTACTGTGACAAAAGGCATAAATGTCTGTTGAGCTCTAAATAATTAATTTATGTAAGAATTCACATTTACCACTTGAACACATCATCATATCAAAAGGTATGCACATTATGAAAATATTGCACCTCTATTTTATTTCCATATACTTTTTTTTCCAGATCCATACGTGGTCACTGTGACCTTCACCTTTGACCACTGAAACATAATCACTTTATCTTTGATACAACTGATCAAAAGTTGAAGAAATCCCCTCAAGCTGCCTTGAGATATCGCATTGAAGAGGCCAAAAACATGTTTTTTGGGTCCAACGTGACCTTAACCTTTGACCACTGAATTCTAATCAGTTTATCAATGAGTCCAGTTTGAGAAAATTAAAAGGAAAGTCAGCACAATTTTTTAACGGTCACCACGGAGGCATCAAGAGGCTCACAACCAGTTGATGACTCCTTTTGTTGTCGTGTTTCCTTCAGACCTGTAGAGGGCACCAGATTATTCAAGTCTTCCCAGTGTTGAGGAATTTTAAGAGCTCCTTCTATGCTTATTGGATTTTTCCCTTTGTTTTTAGTAAAGTATAGTCTGCTGCAAGGTGGAATCATTGTTCCTGATGGGCCTGATACATCTTGATTGTATAACCTTTTGTTTTCAACAAAGTTTCACCAACTAACTTGTCCACCCACATACAGTTTTTACCACGATATAGATATTAAACAGATAATAATGTAAACAAGAAATGCAAGAGAGCCATAAGATAAAAATTGTGTCTCTCAGGTTCATCCTAACTTTTAATATCTCACACTGGTACCAGTAACCAGGATGACACAAACTGTAAGATGTTGATGAATCACAAAAGAGTGAGTTAGCTGACCAATCAGAGCAGTCGTGGCTGTTTGTGAGGTGGGTAGAGAGTTACAATAGAGCTTCTCCGACAGAGTATGATGATGTGCAGTGGCAAGGTACAGTATAAGACAAATAATATTTATTCTAAACATACAGCATGTAAATATATTCTGGTAGAGAACAAAATTAAAATTATGAACCTGTAAAAATGCACTTTAAATTGAATTGATTTGTTAAGATCACATTCATCACTCTCATTTCTCTTAGAATATTACAGTGGTCTTAAGCAGAGCAGCTGCATGTTTAGTGGAGGCAGTGAGTTAGAGATGCTTTACAGATATTACTGGGTGACAGATGTGCTGTTTATCTATGTGAATTTACACACTAAGAAAAAAATACTATTCAAAATATTACAATATTCCCAAACCGTGTCTTACGAAAGCTAAACTAGTGAATGAAGACTGAGGTACATGAGCAGAGTTCATGAATGTGACAGAATGTCTCTACGGCAGTGAAACAGTTAACAGAACAACCCTACAGTGGCGTTCTGAGGACACCGTCTCATAGAAATTAGGTGTAGCTACTGGTTCTTTTATTTTTAATGGAGCTGATGATCTATGATGATCTGTCTTCTGCAGATGTTGAAAATTATAATTAAAAAGCAAAGTTTCCTTGTCAGGATGTAAAAACCTAGTGGACAAAAAAATGTTGTGTAAGGACAGTTGATGTGTGTCCTAGTGCTGGTAGACAGGTCACAGGATGCATCGGAGTCTGTGTTCGCTGAACTGACCTGAACGTCTTGACCAGGTTGTTCAGGTCAGAAGAGACGTCACTCATGGTGAGATGCAGCGGACCCACAATGTTTTTGAGACTGTACAACACACACACAAATAGACGAAGGACAAAGACACAAAGAGAAAAAAAAGCAATTTTAAGTGTAAAAGTGATTGTCCATTGTTCATTGACTAAATGCACTGTTCAGTAACTGATGGGGCCTCTACACTACACTATGTTAACAAGCACATAACTTTATAAACATATTGTGACATGTTTGAACCTGGTATCTCCTTATGGACAGAGATATGAATTACCAGTCAGGATACAAATATGACCAAAATGAATGATGGTTCAGAGCTAAGGAAGCACATCAATACACTGCCTTGGAGTTTTGGATGAATATAGGTGTCCACAAAATAAAAGCACATAAAACATATAGGGGGAAGAAAATGCAGTAAATACACATAGCCGAAAGAAACACAAGAGAAAAGGAACACAAAGACACTGACCAGTTGGTGAGCTTCTCCGCTGTGATTTGTTTCTGGATGAGGTGCTGAGCTTGAGAGTCAACAAGTGGCAGAGCTGGGTCTCTTGGGTCCTGGTCCTGGACTGTCACCTGGTGGAAGAAAACAACATGTTAAGACTCAGTATGGGGTCATTCCGTGTCAAATTGCCACACGTCTGGTCCACACATCACAGATTTTAGTGAAATTTATTGAAACATGATTCCACTGTGTTGTATTTCTTTGAAGACTATCCAGTGAGCTGGGAACCCATCAGCAAAGTAGTTAATTGGTGCTGTGTCCTTCACTAACCTTGTTGTCATTTGGTGCCTCTATCTCCTCAGGCCACATCCCTTTATAAAGCTCCTTCACTCTGAGCTCCAGCTGCTGTGTCTCCTCCCTCAGTGTCTTATAGTCTGGAGCTGCTGCAGACGGCCTCTTAAGCGCCCCAGCATCAGCCCCTTCTAAATCCTCTACAGAAATCTCATCTTCAAAGTCATCTTCATCCAGCTCCTCCTCTCCGTTGTCATTCTCACTTTTTAGGTCAGCAAAAGGAGAGCCTAGAGAATGGTCGCCACCGTACAGGAATTTCAATGTCTCGACTGTGCTCCATTCCTTCAAGGTTCTTCTCAAACATTCAAGGAGATTCAGCCGGGTGGAGTCGGGTTTGGGTGCAGCAGTGTGGTTCTTGAGTAGATCTCGTAACCCCGCTGCCCCTTTCTTACTCATACCCACCTGGGTGATGCCGAGTCCTGGCTGGGCGGGCATTGTTGTGCTGTGGATGCTCTGATGAGCCGTGGTTATTGTTGAAGAGGAGAGAGGTTTGTTTTCTGCTGGGGGTTGTGAGTCAGTAAGTAGTGGAGGAGAGATGAGCAGTGTTGCATGTTCTGCAGGTGATGAGTCAACAGGCAGGGAAACAGCGTGAGTCAATGTCTCAGACAAACTGCACAGATCAATCTTATCTTTAACCTCTTCCACACTGGTTTCCTTTGGCGAGTCTTTTTCCTCTGCCAGGTCAATATTTCTGACATGCAGCTTTTCTGAATCAGTTCTATTCTCTGTTTTCAGTGCATGAGACTCTTTTCCTTGCTCATCTTCTCTCCTTTTTCCCTTCTCTGCTTTCTGACTTTGAAGATGCACGATCTCCTCCTCACCCCCTTCTCTGTTCTGTTTCTCTCTCCTCTCAATATTCCCTCCTTTTCCTTTCTCGTCTTCATCTGTGCGTTTAGGCAGGGCACCCCAGTGCACCCTGCGACCGTGCTGCTGCGACACAACGCTGGAGACAAAGTCCTGGTCTTGCTCCACGTCACTGGTGTCGCTGTGGTCACCTGCGGCACAACATTGTTGGGAGCTGTGAGGCTCCCAAGGCTGAGCAGTCAGCAGATTCTCGATGTCCTCCTCTTGGAGAATCCTCTCTGATAGAATCACCACCTCACCAGAGCTCCCACTGAACACACACATGTAAGGCTGAATTAGTAAATCTATCATAAAGTCTTAATAAACCTTAGAAAACAAACATCTAAAAATAGTATTTATCCATTAGTAGAATCAGATCGGCAACAAATCTCATATTTATCAGCATTTACAATATTCTTTACTATGGAATGTAAACACTGAAGCCAAAACATACCCATCTCCTTTCTTCACCAGTTTAATTTCTTGAGGGCTGTCAGAAATAAGGGAAGTGAACACATGACCTTATTATGCAGAAACTAATCATATATGAGATAAGATCAATTAAGAACAAATGTATTTATTGATCCGACTTCAAGGAAATTAGCTTGCCACAGGAGTAGATAGTGCAAATAACGTAGACACGTGAACATGTAAAAGTAAAATAGAATAAATTACAGAGAATTTATACATAATATAACCCTTTAACTATAGACGGAATATGTAAGATCAGTTCATAGTTGTGTTTTAGGAAAGAGACAAATCAACTCACCTCTCATGCTGCCTGAGCCAGAGAGGAGTCTTTGATATTTGTAGTTCAAACTCTTTGGAGGCTTTATAACAGAAGTTACTGCAAAAACACTAAACACAAATAGAAAAGGAAAAAAAGATTTCTTCAGAAATATGTATATATGTATATATATATATATTTTACACACATATAGCAGCACTTACCTTGCGCTCTGTAATGTCGTACACTTTATTGGTCTTAGTAGAAATTTTAAACTGTTGAGTTGGGATCTAAGTGAACAGTAGAAAACAGAAATTAAAGGCAAGAAACATAATGAAATCAATTGGAATTACAAAGACTAATTCAAAGGCTCTTACCTTGCCCAGTTTGTTTGGACATATGGGATAACCACACAGTTTAGCGATCATTCTTTCCTCTATAGTATCTTTGTAATTAGCTGGAGTGATGAATTTGGCCTGTGAAGAAAGGAGACTTAAAACAATATTTAAACAACAACTATGTCACTTTTAAGATGAACCTGGTGAAGAGTAAGAAAGAAAAAAAATACAATGTGGAAGTTAAAGCAGTTATCAGCTCACTGTTGTTTAATCTAATCCTTGCTTATCAAACCCAGTAATTGAAAATACTCTTCTTTGCAGACTACAAACTACACAAGCTCGGTTCTGTCTGAAAATGGTGGTCACAATGATTTAGTTGAATGAGAATGAGACATCACTCTGCAGGACTGAGAGACACTGAAATCTGTCTCAGAGCTTGTGTCTTGTCCGGCAGATGTTTACTGGTCAGATGTGTGTTTGGATTTCTCCTGGACCTCCTTCATAGAGAAAAGCTGAACTCAGGTGACACGTACACAGTCAACCAGGAAGTCTTCAGCCACACTGTCGTCAAGGAGACGCTCCACCACCTGCAGGGCTCTCTTCTCCAGCTCCAGCCTCTGCCTCAGCTCCTCCTTCACTTCCTCTCTCCTGACACCAACACACATCACATTCATTGAAACAAATGTTCGCATTACTTATTGTTAACTTCTATGACAGTCCTCTCTAAAATGTCGATTATCAATTGAACCGTTTACAACCATACTACAATCTTGTGTATTAGCTTGTAGCAGATTGGATGAAAGTTCCTCACCTTCTGGCTTCTTCTTCAACACCTAGCGCTTTCACACGTTTCTCACCTGTCACACAGAGAGACGCTCACATGTTGAATACAAGTCACTGTGTGTTGAAGCTACAACACAATTTAAACGTGTTTAGCGTTAGCATGAATCATATTTTCACTTCTTTCTGAAGACGGCATGGCTGTAAATATGTTTGTGAAGCTCAATGCTGTTGTATAAGAAGAAATGAGGAGTAGAAACGGACCTTTTTGGGAGTTTTTGGGAGTTCTCCTCCTCTGCTCCGTCGCCATGTTTCTGTCTTCTGAGTCTCAACTTTGACCCGTGACGTTTGTTTCCCTCTACGGAAAGCGCGAAGGGACAATCCAGCCTTTAGCACCGGTTAGCGCCGGAGTGACTTAGCATGACAGTTCGTCTGTGACATGTAGCTTCGGTGGGTATCTGTTGTCATGTGACCCATTATTATACGTGATCACAGTGTTTACTGGTAGCGACTGTGTTTGGCTCAGTATGTTAGCAAGAGTTAGTTTTGTTTCAATTCTAAAAGCGAAGCTAATGGTGGGTAATTGAAACTAGCATCTATTCATCACCTCTGTGTTTATACTGTAGAGGAACCTCAGGCTTATCTGACCTGGAGCTTAACTCCACTCACACGTCCACACATATTAATGAGGATTCAGCCACTGGATGATGATCGAGTGTGTTTTTACTCTGATGTGTAGTTTGTGAGTTTGTTTAAGAGGATTGTTGTGTGACGATAAAACCACCTGGAGACAGCAGGGATGGCTCTGGAGCAGCTCAGCGATGTGGTCCAGAGATGTGTGAGTTCACCACACACTCACTCACCCCTCAACACATTTCTCCATCTCTCCAGGGTTCAGGGTCATTTCATTTAAGAGATAGAATCGATCAGAATGCATTTGTTTACTGAGCAATACCTGCTCCATTCATTTAGAAATAAAATAGAAATAAAAATGTTCAATCATGATGGATCAACTTGATTCTACCTCCCTTTTAGAGACGATCATACACTATACAATGCACACACACCAGAAGTGTGTGAGTGATGTGTGATAAAGCGCTGAAGGAGTTACATCTATAAAATATCAGAAAATAGTGTCAAATGTTTTAGTTGCATCAACAGTCCAGAACCTTGAAGGTATATTTTTTTTCATATGCATTTTCTGTAGATAATCAACTTGAATTATTTCATTGCTAATATGTTTACTCTTTCTAACACAGCAGGCACTCCCTGATGATGGCTACACCACTGAGGATCATAACGTCTTCACGATTGCTGGGCGAACCTGCATCGAGGAGGGAAACAGTGCACAGGTCCTCAGTATTGTCCTGGACGAACAGAATCAGGTATGTTGCTCAGAGCTTCAATATTTCAGCTTAAACACTTTTTTATAGATTTGAGCTCTGATAACACTTTACCCTTGTTTCTGTAGGAGATAGTGAGATGTATGGGCTGGAATCTGCTGCCTCCCCTGATTCAAGTTTTGCTTAAGAAAGACGACGGGAACCGTCCTCAATGCCTCGCCATTTTCAACCACCTGCTGGAGGTCTGCTTATCTGATCCGTAGATGCCTCACAGTGTTGTGACAGGGGTCTAATACTGTCCAAAATACAGATAATAATCCAAACTAAACAGAGAAAAAACTATGAGTGTGTAGATGTGTAACAGTAACATATTGTAGACAGAAACATATTCATGTTTTTGATTATAGCAGATTTACATGCTAAATAAAGGCTTTGAAAACAGCAATAAAAATTTGAAAAAATTCAAGTGTTGATTAGATTCTCTTTGATTTAACAGACTTGCAGACCCAAGGAGCTACTGATTGGTCTATTGGAGCTGCTGGAGCAGGACGATCCTGACACCATTGCAAAAAGTCTCCATCTGCTGTTGAACCCTCTACAGAAAGGTAGGAAACCTTTCTTTAGATACAAGCTTCCACGTCAGCTACGAGGAATCAATTTCATGGTTCCCCCTCCTCTGTCACCCATCTCTTCTTCTTAGTGCTGCTGTGCCTGGGCGACCGTAAGGCCTCGTCCCTGGGCATGACCCTGTCCTCTGTGCTGGACCAGGTGGCCAAACTGCCTATACCTCACACCAAGGAGCAGGAGGAGGATGACGTCTTCTCGCTTTGTCGCTGCTGCACCGACCTGACAGCCTTTGTCAGACCCTTTGTCCTCGAGGTCAGACAAAAGCTGATGAACGATGAGCTGAGCGAGAGCACGAACAAGATGACGATTGGACAAGACACCAATAAAGAAGACGAACTGCGGACAGAACTACTGAAGTTGTGAGGGAGAAATTTGAAATTTTTCACAATTCAGACTTTCAAAGAAAATACATTATCTCAAAATACATTATCAGTAATGGTGTCCAGGTTGAATAAATGTGTTTTTCTGCCCTGCAGCTGCATGAAGACTCTGAGTTACCCTTTGATGGAGGCACAACTCAAGGATCCTGACACTCTGCCTGTGTCTCCTCTCAGGAGTTTTGCCTCAGATATTATGGTATAAAACATCACATGAACTGAAAATGTATTCAGTAGAATATTCTGGAAAGAGTAAACGTTGTCCTGTAACATCAGTGTAAATGGTGTGATGGGTCTTGTGTGTGTGTTTTGTGCAGAATACCCTCAGTGCTATTGGAGAGCCCCTAACCAGCCTCGTGTACCAGCCTCTGCTGAAGAGAAAACAGGTTCTGGGTTTTCTGGAGGAGGAGGTGCGTTATCCTAAAGAGTCTTTGGCGAGCCTAAACCACCTGGTGTTTGTACATCACCTGGCTGCAGATACGTTCCCCTGTGTTTTCAGGTATGTTGGTGAAAGTGTGAAAACACCGGTGACAGTTCAAACTGTGTGAATGGATGGATTGTTTCCTAACGCCCTCTGTGTCCTTGTAGTCCCGTGTTCTCTCTCCGGTGCAACATGGAGCACATCTGCCTCCTCTTGTCCAGGTGAATATATACTATGTTATTACATTATATCTGTACAATGCCATAATTTAGCAAAAACTGGTCACAGGAATATAGAAAGATTTTCTCCAAACTTTCTCCAAAAAGTTTCCTTTAAACGTAACATTTTGTATGGTTTTTTTTGTTTGTAAGAACCGAGGAGACCAGGATTCAGAAAGGACTGGTGAGTCAACCGGAAACACTGAATACAAGAAGAAAGTTGTTGTTTTGTGTTTTCAGTGAAAGATCTCTGCATTAGTTCTTTAATTGAAATTTCCTCTAAGCTCACAAAAATGTTAAAGAACCTCAGCCCTCACCAAGTAACAAGAAAATCGTCTGGGTAGCTTTTGCGTAATCCTGCTAACAGACATACAGACAAATGTATAAACGACAATGAAAATGAAAAAAACTTTTCCAGCTGGTGTGTATTTGTGTTGTTTAGAGTCAGTTTGTCTGGTTAAGCTCATCAGTGTTTGAACCATGTGTGTTTCCCATCACACAGGAGCTGTATGAGAAGAGTCTGGTGCGGGTAGAGGACAGAAGCCTGTCTGCTGATCTGCTGGACATCAAAACCTTCCTCACAGTCCCTCAGGTGAACACAGTCGTCCACTCACATCACTCATTCAAACCTCAGCTTCTACTCTGATGCGATTATTATTGTGCATTATTAATTTCTGCTTTCATTTTCAGAACTTGGTGAATGTTATGACAATATGTTCAAGGCACGATTTGGTAAGTCTAAACATTTGTAACTGCAGATGATGGTTTTAACAGTGACCCTTTTTCTACTTTTGTATTAAATGTAGTTTTGAAAATAGATGTTTTAAAATGTTCTTCTTGTCCACAGAGAACCAAAGGTCTTAAGGTGTTCCAGCTGAGCATTGATAAATTTGACACTGAAGCCAAGTATAAGTTTTTCCAGTAAGCGTCCAACTTTCCTCCTTTGAATCCATTAGAAAAGTCTCTCTCTGTTCCACCCCTCAATATAAAGACTTTCCCCGGTAATGTTTTCTCAGGTACATGCTGAAGACCAGTAAACACTCAGGAGTCGAAGGCTACATCATCAAAAACATCAAGACTCAGATAGACTTTGCCCTGCAGGTGAGTTCAGCCACTTTAGATGTGATGGTGTCTGTCAGATTTGATGGGAGCGCAGGAATTCTAAACTAAATGTCAGTGTGGTCAGTCCTGGTGACGTCTGTCTTTGTCTCTGTCCTCAGCCAGGGAACAGTAACCCCTGGTTTCAGGGGACTCACCTGCTCCCTCTGCTGCGAAAGGTCCTCATTCTCCCAGACGGACCAGAGACCGACCTCCTGCAGTACCTGGACAGGTCAGCACACACGCACTCTAACACCCCTCTCATATGTTTTATAAACTGCCTACTCTGCACAGGTGAATGGAGCCTGTCCTAGCATGCACTGGGCGAGAGGCAGGTGAAAAAATAAGCCTTTACTTACTGTTAAAAGAAAAAGAGCGAGGGTTTTCTCTCTGTTGCACTGAAATGTGAACTGTACTATGTTTAATGAGATGCCCACAACTCTTAATGTTTCCATAATGCTCATGTTTTGAAGGGGGTTGCTTCAGAATGAAACAGTGATAAAAACAGCTGAATCTTTGTTTCAGTATTAACTTGTATCTTGTTTTTCTCCTCAGAATCATGGAGTCTCTGAACCTGCTGCGTTACCTGGTCATCAGAGATAAAGTGACTGAGAACCAGGTGAGAACAGCCGCGTACGAGAATTGATCTGTTTCACACCTGAGCCACAAATAGGGTTGATGGTTGATTTGGATGGATGGATTCCTGAATGAACTGCTGGACACAAAAACAGTGACCTCAGGGGGTCGATAGGGAACCTGGACCAGAACCTCTGTATGATAACATTTCTTTTTGAAATAACTACAAAGAGATGGAAAAATGAAAAAACCCAAAACAACTGCAACAAAGGAAAATACTCAAAATGAATTATGCAAAATTATCAAAAAATGACACAAAGTCAGTAAAACTAGACACAAATCTACAACAAAACACAAAATTATTAAAATGAGACTAAAAACAAGTTTAAAGAAAAAGACAAAAGGAGGATACACACAATATGACTCCAATGTATCTCTCTCGTGTGTAGGAATGTGTGTATTATGAATGAATTGATTTTTAGGCACTGCACAGAAAATTATGTTGTACTATTTTGTGCAATGACAATAAAGCTTTCTGATTCTGATATGCAAAAATAAAATACCACAGATTTAAATGGACAAAAAAAGAATGCAAATCAACCAAGCATCAAAACAAAAATAGATGCAAACCCATAAAAAGGGTGCAAAGAGACAAGTATGACTGGACACAGAGACTTTTTCAGTCTTAGTCGTATTGTTATCGACAACCATTCACATCTATTCACTAACACAATCAGCACCAGGTCACTGGAGCCGATTGGAGCCAGTCTTACCTTAATACACTGATGATGATCTTGTGCTGCTGTTGTGATGTTGCAGACGGGGATCTGGACCGAACTGTATAAAATCGAGGACACGCTCATGAAGCCTCTGCGTGTTGGTGTGAACATGTCGAGAGCTCACTATGAGAGGGAGCTGCACACCATGGACACCAAGAAGAGCCGGGCCAAAGGTCAGACCAGTGTTTCCTTATTCATACTGATGATAGTGTCTTTGTCAGTTTCACCTTTCTCAAACAACCCCTCAGATTTTCTGAAAACATACACATGTGCAAGAGGACAGAAAATATTACTGCCTCATATTTCATGGTCTTAAAGGTGATGTGTGTTTTCCACAGAGGAGTCGAAGTTCTCTGTGAGTGTTGGTGACGAGAAGCTGCCAAAAGTGACGTCAGAGTCACAGATTCAGGTCAGCAACTGTTTCATATTCAGTAGTCAAATCAAATAGCATTTGTTTGTACAGTTCTAATGCTACTGTGTCCTCTCAGGCTCTGCACTCGGCCCTGCACACGTTTGACATGATCGAGAGCGTGTTGGTGCGGATAGAGGAACTCACTGATCCGAGAGAAAATCTGTAGCGTTTTAGTTCAACCGCTACAACATCCTCAACCTGTCAACTCCACCGTTGATTTGTTTTGTTTAAATTAAATGGATGAATTATTTCAAAGTGTTAAACCATCCAAATATTTAAAGTTGTCAGCAGGTCTGCTGGGTATTTAGAAATGTAACAGTAAAATGTTTCAAACTCTGTTTGTAAAACAAACCAAATAGACAGGAAGGTTTTATTCCGTCTGTTATATGTATTCAAACTTTTGTATTCATGCAAAAAGGTTAAATAAACTTCTGTACTCTTTTTTTCTGAGTGGGACATTTTCTGTGGTAAAAAACTTTAACGATGTGACTTGCTGTAATTCTGGAGACGGCAGCTCCAGCTCATTTTGGCTTAAAATGGTAAACACATTGAAATTATTAAAGTGGTTGTTTATTAAGTTTACACTTAGTAACAACTGTAAAGTTCTAAGTAAACAGAAGTCATATACATCTTAACAAGTAATTACTTTCCATTTGGTTGATAAAAGTTTTTAAGGGCTATGCAAACTTTGTTGCTATTGACAATTTCTATGTATCTGTGTATTCTGTCTATTTGATTGGTTTACAGTCATTTGAAATATGTGATAGACAAATCTCAAATTCAATTTCTTTTCCCCTATGGTGCCAAAACAAATTCAAATGTTCGGAAAAGCACATATTAAACACAATTATCCATATATATATATATATATATATAATTAATTACGCTTCAAATGACAAACACTTTGTTTATGTCTTTATTATAAAATAAACACATTCATACTCACATTTATAAAATACAGATGGACATGAAACACCTTCAAATGAAGACACATTCATACCTCAGGTACACTCAGTCCATACAGTGGTGATAGGCAGTAAACAAGAGTAAAGAACATACTGACGATTCCCTTTACAAGACGAGACAAACAAAAATATTAAATATCCATTCTCTAAATTTAGAACTGCTAATGTATTGCCTCAAATCAATACTGAATCCTCACAATTCTCTCTTCTACACCATCGCTGCCATGAATATAACTCATGCTAACTCTTAAATACAAGCCTGTGAACCCCAAAGTCAAACCAGCATTAATATTTAATCTGTGTAGAGACACACACAAACACACAGATTAACCTCATCTCACTTTGTTCTGATAATGTCTCCACACAAAAGATTTAAACTTTGTTCCAGTCGGGTTCCATCTTCTCTACGTCTGACTCATATCCTGAAGTCCAGCAGCTACGTGATCCGTCACAGGTCTTTGAACAGCGAGTGCTGCAGTGCCTGAGCAGCTGTGATCCTGGTGGCGGGGTTCAGGTCCAGCAGCCGGTCAAGCAAGTTGTAGGCTTCATCAGGGACTCTGTCCCAGCCCCGCTCACTGCTCTCCACCTCTGAGGTCTGTTTATCAAGGCGGGTGGAAGCGTCTTTGCTGCTTGAGTTCTCAGGATGGTTTGAGAGAGTTTGACCTACTCCACCTTCATGCTGCTTCGATATTCCATCAGTGGGACGATGTGTAGGTGTATCATCTGGGATCTTTGGATGTTGAGCGGAGTCTTTACTTGCTCCATGGAGGGGTGTGACTTCATCATCAGGTGATGGTCTTCGTCCTCTCAGTGTCTCACACAAAGTTCTGAGATCCTGCCTTGGTAGCTCCCGACAGCACACCAGCGCCTTACCTGTTCAAACCCCAAAAAGTTTACAATCAACACTGTACAGCTGAATTGTTGACTTAACTATGGTGATAAATGATGCTACTGGATTAATCACAATATAGAAGCGGAGGCCTCTGTTTTAATACACACCAAACGACTTGGCAGCCTGTATGGTCTCCCTGGAGCCTCGAATGGTCATAATCTGAGTGAGAGCAATCAGGTCATCGCTGGCTTTGAAGAACGGGTAACGACCACTGAGCAGCGAGAGCAGAATCACACCAGCTGACCACACGTCTATGGCTACAACGCATAATGGAGAAAAAGACAGGAGAGGGTGTGACTGTGAATATTAGTGACAGTCAAATTCTCACCTGTGAGGGAAAGAAATCTTTCAAATACCAAAAAACATGAAAACCTTTCAATAGTTGTAGAGGAGTATAAATGGGGACACGAGAGACGTATTTACATAATGTGTTATGTTGAGTTTACATTAATCAATAACAATTTGCGAAACTGACCTGTTCCTTGGTTGGGACACTTTGTGAGGACTTCTGGTGCTCTGAAGCCTGGAGTTCCAGCCCTGGGTGCCACCTGCTGCTTCCTTCAGTCACAACAGGGACATTAAAGAGACATTTACTGAATGTGAACAAGGATTTTTAAGGTTTGTAAGTGAGTGGACTTGACAAGAATGTCCTTTTATAGATTCCTGATGGATCCTATATAGCTGACAGTGAAACTTGAAGTTAAAAATAGACGCTACATCATTTAAATTGCGGACTTAAATATGACCAGTGGTGAAAAGGAGGGTCTGAGGATGAGCTCCTATCTTAAAGAGTGCTTCAGTGTTTTAATGTTTTTTGTTACCTGGACAAGCAGACGTTGCAGACGCGGTCCGTCATGTAGCAGTTACAGGTGAGGCCCTGCTGTAGAATCCTCTGAGGTTTCTGACTCTGGCTCCTGACAGCCACAGGCCCACGGCTGGCTGAGGAGTACCTCCTGCTGGCAGGGTCCTCTGTTTTGATGGGTTTTACCAGCTAAACAAAAACAAGAATGGAATGTGGGATTTTATAGAGGAAAAACACATGACTAAAATGAGAAAAGCAACACCTATAAATAAATGTTTATCTTGAAACATTTAGAAAAATCAATGTATGAAAAGGAGTTATGGAGGTGCAAAACCTTCATTGATATTATCTAGATGTTTGTGGGACCATGTATACAAAACGTATCATTATATCTGTAAGCACTGGTTAATCGTATGTATATGTCAAATGAAAATAAAAATTTAATATGTGAAATAAACATAACCACATTGACCTGTGTGATATGTTTATAGACACTTTAGGGTTAAACTACTAAAAACATTTCATTTTTAAATGCGTCAGATAAATGTTGAACGAGTACTGTCGTGTCTGGTGTGATCTGTCCACTTCCATGAGCTGTTACTGAAGAGGTCTAAAACATCTTATTTTTCAAAATCCTGACACTGCACCTTGCTTACCTCTGTCATAATGGCAGCCTGTTTGGTGGTGGAGGAAGCTGGAAGGCAGCTGTTGAGGTTCTTCTCTCCAAAAACCGGCCGTGGCACTTTGCTCAGTCTTGTCAAATCCTGGAGAAAACAAACACGGATGCCAGAGTTTAGCAAAAAACAACACATCCGTGCAGAAACGGATCACTAAAGAAATCCAGATAATTCCATCCAGGAAATTCCTCAGCCCAATACCCAGTTAATCATACAAACATACAGTACAATTATCTCCTTAGAGAACAAAGAAACGACTCAGAGAGGAGACCAGTAAATGTGCACCTTTGTGTGCTTTGTGCGAGATGTGGAGGTGGTGACAGTGGTGGTGACAGAACGTGCTTTTTTAACTAGTGCTCTCCGAGAGGCTGAGGAAGGTGTGGTAGTGGTAGTTGAGGAAGAAGAGGAGGAAGGTGGCCGTGCCGTGGACTGCCTGGAGGGCACAGGTAGTGAGGTTGAGGCTGTGGTGCTTGCTGTGGTTTTGGGATGGAGGAGTCTGGGTTGTGCTTTGCTCCGATGTGTGGTGTCTTGTTTCCCCGTGGACCCTCCACCTTTTTGTGTTGGCCTCTGCCTCACCACCTTCAACAGCTCAATCTGTGTGTCCGCTGTTCCCTGAGCCAAGCCAAAGTCCACCAGAGCATACCTACACACAAAAACACATTTCATATAAATTTTTCATGTGCTGTGTCTGTGTACTGCAAGATAGCTGACCCTGGAACCCCCATACATTCCATCCCACATCCCAACTAACCAGGGAACTCAAAAATGTCCACATTAATGGATGGAATGCCAAATAAATAGCTAAAATAGAAACTCATCAAATCATCAGCACTTCCTTAAATTACACAGAGAAGTGCAACTACTCACATTTTGCTGTTCCTGTTGTAGAGGAAGTTATTTGGTTTGATGTCTCGGTGAATGATTCCAAACTGGTGGATGTGTTTCAGGGATTTCAAAAGGTGATAGATGTACAGACGAACCTCTTCGAAGGTCAGTGAGCTGATGATGTCCTGAAAAATACATTGTGATTGGATCAAAAGTTTTAATCTCGAAGACAAGAACTAACATGAATAATACCTGATTTACGTTTTGTAGATATACTACAGATTGTTCCCATGCAAGAATCAGTATGTCACTAAAAAGTAGTAGCAACATTTGTGAAAATATACTGCATACATACCACAATAGCTTGATGCTCCATATACGGCATGACAATCACAACATGGTCCTCCTTCCTGAAGCAGTAAGTCGCCCCCATCACATTCTCTCTGCCTCTAAAAACAGAAAAAGGCACAGTGAGATTCTGGAGGCTATTCTCTGCATGTGAAGACGTCAATCTTTACCTGTCACTTCCAAAATTCCCAACAAAAACGCAGATCAATGCAAATCCATATATGCAAATTAGTGTTTTAACATCTTAGTCTGACTTTACATATGTGATGAGGAGCTTGATTGAAAGGTGAGTAGCAAATGATTAATGATGTGACTGGTTCCTCAAACTGCTGACTGATATTCTGGGGGCACAGACAGATATCTTGAAAATGACTTTATTAAAAATCTATTGTATTCAGACTCACCCAGCAACAGTGAGACACTGAAGCTCAGCAGCAATGCGTGTAGGATGGCTGGTTGGAATGAGGTGCTTCAGAGCAAACCTCTCTCTACTTCCGTCACGCATCTGAGCCTCACCCAGGTACACAGAGCTGAAGGTACCTGATGCACAGATATGCACATGTCATGGGCAAGCCACTGATTCTGCTCCAATAAATCCACTGAGCTTAACAAGTGACTATGAATCTCTGACACAAGTTTGTATTCAGCAGGCAGTATATACATTCCAAAAGCATAGATACAGTTATTTAGAGCATGTACCTTCTCCAATTTTGTCTACGATGCGGAAAACCTTGGCCAGCTGAGGAACGGCTTTATGGAGGAACTCAATGTCCACCTCTACATCTCCTGGAAGAAAACACACAAGATTTATACATTCATACATGCACAAGTTTCAGATAAGTCATGAACAGTGTGTGTTGGTGCAGTGCAAACTTTACATGGATACCTTTGTAATAGGTTTTATTTTAAGAAAAGGGTTACATTTTGAAATTCTGACGTAACATTTGTGGCAAAGTGGCATATCACTATGTAATCAAAAATCTAGTTTGACAAGTATTGGCAGCACGTATAATCATCGGGATCTACAATATACAGTCTCTATAATCAAATGCACATCTTTTTTTTGTATCGTTCATGTCACAGTTATGTCATAAAGCATCGGACTCACTTGGGACCTTGCTTTTTCTCGGGGCTCTGTCAGATTTGATGATACATCCGTCTGTGCTGATGCCTTCAGTGCACACAGGAGACAGCTCCATCTGAAAGACATGGACAGAATTTCAATAGGCTGGGAATGTTTTCCATTGTAGGCATAGGGCTAGATTAGAGTAGAGATTCTCACAAAGGCCCTTCTATTGGACAAACATTACTTCCAAGGATCTAACCCTGTACAAATAATATGACACATTTCTATAAAGTTACGTGAAAGAGCAACACAAGAAGAACGTCTTAGAGAGATTAAAAACATTTCCACCGAGTCAACACATATATCATAACAGTTTGAATGGATTCATCCGGAAACCTTTCAATGGGCCCCCCATTTAAAACCGCCCCTGTCAAAATAGCTTTAAGAGGTAAAGAACTGAATCCACTTCACGACCAGTGGTTAGTTATAAGTAAACTATCTGGTTGAACTGTCAGGTAGATGAAAAAGTACAGCTGATGCTAAACTAGCTAGGCGCTGTTGTGTTGTCATTACAACTGAACTAGCATGTCGCTGTTAGCCACAATCTGTCATCCAGCTGAGTTGGGTCCGTGTGAAAACAAACAGGAACTCACCGCTTCAGTTGCTCGTAGTTTGTCAGAGGAGCATGTTATCAAGGCGCAATGTCGCCACGAGTTAATGTTCCAGTCGTGAAACACTCAGCGAGCGGAACAAACTCCGTTAAACAACTCGACCACCGGACTTTTACACTGAAGCTTTTCCGCCTACAACAAACTCCGCGCGAAAAGTGACGTCAGAATATCGCGTGACTTCAGCACAAGTCACGTGGTAACATGTGATCTCAAACCTGCCTCTTCTTTTTCTTCTTCTTTTTCTTCTTCTTCTTCTTCTTCTTCTTCTTCTTCTTTGTGTTTAATGACGGGTGGCTCCCAATGTTAAACGTGCAATACCGCCACCTACTAAACTGGAGTGTGGGTCAAAGCGTTTTGTCTGCGGAAATATATAAATAATCAAAATAAAACAAACAAGCCACCCCACCCCCACTACTTCAAATCAAATCCTCCTCATTGATCCACTTTCTTTTAAAAACTCAAACAAGACTTTATATTTCCCTTCTCCAATACTGAACACTTCCACCACACATCTCCTCAGCTCCTTCTGGAGCTTTTCTCTTTTTAATCCTGTGTGTCCTGTTCTACCTTGTGATCTCAAACCTGCCTCCATGGACGCTTTTCTTCTTCTTCTTTTGGGATGTATTGGGTGGTTGGAGTGTGGATCATGATCATGTCTTATATAATCTATTCTATTGAGTCAAAAAAACAAAAAACACCTTATATTCTAAGATAATCAAATAGTATCTGATAACACTTTTGAGGTTTTTTGTAGGATATCTCTTAAATCCGAGGTTGCAGAGGTTAACTATGAGCTGCATTCTTTCTTGCAAGATTTCAGAAAGTTTACTATGAAATGATGAACTGTTTCGTCTTATTATTGTGGGAATAATCACATTGTCCTGTATCAGGTTTCCCTTTTTTTTGCAAAGTACTCTTTAGTCCTGTGTGTGTCCAAATCTGAGTCTGGATATTATTTTTTCTTCTCTCCTGTTCATTTCTGCCCGTCTCATTTCTCCCACCTTCCTTTGAATTTGTTAAAACCATCGTCCTTTCCTCTCTTCTTCCAATTGCTTCTGCCACCTTTTCCTTCAACCTCTGTTTAATGATGCTCTTAGTCTGTGCGTCACTGAAGCTGACTGCCACATCAGTGCAGACATTGCATTGTATCACCCGATGAACAGACTTTATTAAATAAATCAATAAATAAACCAGTTACATCAGTAACAGTTGGAACAAACAGAACAACTTGTTTCAATTACAACGTGAATGTATAATAAAATGACTTTGAAACAGTCTGTAACACACATGTTAAATAAAGATGAACTTAAACACTTGCTGATGAATTCACATCAGAGTCGGAAACATCAACGACTTCTAAAATAGGCCATCAAATATCCCAATGTAAGCTTCCTCCTCTTGGCTGTTCATGCTGAAGACCCAGTATGTAATAAAAGAGGGAAAGAGTATTTATTACTTAGGTTTACTTCAATAAAAGTGAATTCCATTTAGATTAGTTTCATTAATTATTGAAGAAAAACATCTCAGTTTGTCAAAATAAAAGCCTCTACCTTCTGTTGATAGAAGAGCTAGAGTTGGCTGGGACTCTCACTGTTGAGAAGAAATCAAACCTTCTGGTCTCCGGCGCAATGTGCTTCTGTTTTGGGAGATTTTCCGGTGTTTTTACTCTGATCTCTTCACTGAAGATGCCTGGTCTCTGCGCAAATAGGAGGAAAGGGGCAAATGTCACATGTGCCAGCTACCTCTGTCTTTTGCAAATGTGGCAATCGAAAGGCAAAAGCGGCACATTCACAGATATTTGTATGCACAAACTGACCTTTCGATTTAACTCAAGTGTGACTCGATTCTGTGGCCTGACTGCGACTAGTGAGGGTCCTGGTTTTCTGATTTCAGAAATTAGATTTGGTGAAATCAATCTAAAACACAAAAATACTGTCTTAAATACCACATAAAACCTCTGTATCTCTTGAGATATTTTACATAATCAGATATTTGATTAATCGTGTGTGAAACAGAAAATAATCAGAGGTAACATGAGCACTATATCCTGGCTTTACCTCAGTGGTGTCTTGGCTGGGGTTATACAGGGTTTGACTTGAGAGGGACTGAGGAAGAGTGGAGGTGCTGATGTAGCCCCAAAGCCTAAACATAAAATATATGTACTGATATCAAAGTCATAACAATGGTGATGGGAATGATGTTGTAGTTTACGCTAAGATGATTAAAACATGTTGTGGCCACATATACTTGAGATGTATTCAAAGCTGAAAATACAGAAAACAAGTGTCATAATCATTATTTTCACATTCTCCTGAGATGCTGAAAACGTGACTTTACCTGGCGTGTTGCACTCAACAGACTGCTGGGTTTGCGGTTTAGCATTAGTTGTGCACAAAGCAAATGACGTCTCGCTGGCATGCACCAAGTGCTCATCATCGAAGTCGCCCCAGTCGTCCCATTCATTTCCAAGGTCAAAGGTGACAGTTGGTATTTGTGCGGATGAAGCAGTTTCACAGTATGAGCCCTGGTTGGTTACCACAGTGGGCCTCTTAGAATAAGATGAGGTGGTTGTATTGGTCTGGATTAGATGCTGTTCAGAGTTCTGACTCCTAACACTTGTTCCTGGGTTCATCCACACTGAGGAACCTGTACACAGAGGACACATCATCAATAGTTTCTGTATAATAGATTTTTTTTATTCAGTCTACAAAGTGGCAATGTCAGATTTGGATCTGCATGTTTCTCCACCATTCACTTTTTGTTGTGTACGATTATCCTGGGGCAAAAGGTTTATATATAATTTCATCTGAGTGATAAGTTAAACTATATGAACAAACTGTTCATAACTGTTTAAATCAATTTTAATGGAAAACAATATTTTAAAATTTTGTATTTTTCTCTCTCTGTGTATTTTGGCTTGCATAATCCAGTGTTCAGTCCATAGTGTGTGTAGAAGCAGGATTGTTTGAAATTGATAAAAACTAAGATTGCCCAAAAGGTTTTCCGGACATTTCACTTCTTGTCAGTATAATACTAACACGCTAAGACTATTCTCATCTCATTCAAATGCACTCTCTCTGGCCCCCCAAAATAAACGTTTGCAGCAAAAGCACATTTTCCATTTACCACATATCCTTTAATCAATGTCTGTATTTGTTCATCTGAGAACACTGTACTGTGCTGTAAATCTTAATCCATAATATACTGATAGTATATTGAAATGAAGCTAGAAAACCTAAACCTATGTCGTATGCGCTGATACGTGACTGGCAGTATGTAAAGTAAATGAGATTTGTAGTTAATGAGCTACACCCTGCAATCTGTCTATCAAAGAGTTTGAGTGAAGTGTTTTTTTGTTACGATACTTTGATGGTGGGCATGAGATGCAGCAGGGGTTTGGACAGTCTCTTCCATTGTTTCGTACATGTCCCCAGCATAGTCGTAGTAATCTGAGCAGGAGAGAGAGAGAATGACAGAGAGGCAGTAAAACACACTGTCCCAGATTTTGTGATGACTAAAAGGCAGAATCAATGGTGTATAGTTCAGAATCATCGTCTTTATGTCATGTACCACTGTCAAAATCGTCCAGATGAATCGTGTCTGTGAGGTCAGTGCAGTCTTCTCCTGTCAGATCCACAGTGTCAGTGTGAGGTCTCTCTGAGGCTCCGTAGTCATTTACTCCAAACCTTCAGATCACAAAACATTTAAATAATCAATCATCAGTCAAAAATGGTCTCACACATTTTACTGTCACACTTTTCACAAATCTAAATTGCAGCAATTGTGTTTGGATCCATTCAAACTCTAAATTGTGTAACTGTGAAAACTGTGAATACCAGGAAACGGTCGGAAGGCTCTCTTTGGGTTTGTAAGCAAAGTTCTGCATGTTGACAGACACAGACTCCTCACTCATTTTCATCTGAGGAAATCCAACAGAAAAGCAAACACACTTTTATTACTCTGTCTGTTTGTTTGATCGGCAGGATTACGCAAAAACTACTACACATATTTCCACAAAACATGGTGGAAGGATGGGAAATGGGCAAAGAATGAACCCATTACATTCTGGACAAAGGGACAGATTTCTTTCATAAAACATTTTCATTATTTTTAATATGTGCCCTTCTATTCTATTCACATCTGTGGTCTTCCTCACCTTGAGTCGTTTGACAGGAGTCAGTGTGTCACATCTGCTCCTGAGGTCTTTCAAATAGGAAGAGAAACTATATTCTGGATTTGTTGACCTCTTCTTTGCCACAGTCACTCCTACTTTACCTTAGGGGGAGGGACACATGGGCACATGTGACAGACTGGAGGATCTTGACAGGCAAACAAAGTTATGCACAGGTGAATATATACTAACATAACATATAAATTAGCAAAAGACACAAAGCGGTGAAAGATTGTACTCACAGCAGTCGTGGCCACAGAGATCCTTGTTCTTACAGAAGTGGTTGCAATGTCTTTTGTTACCTGAATCTGATTGCAAAGTTGTCACATTTTAACAGAGAAACAAAACTACAAATAAATAAACCATTTTATATTTCAACATCATCAAAATCACCAATGCCTTGATCTGTCACAGATGTGGTATTTTCCCTCTGAGGTGTAGCTGGATCAGCTGACTGTGGTTTCAGAGCAGAGTGCTCAGTTCTCTGTCCCGTAGGATCATACAATGTGTGGCATGGATTATCAGTACCGAACCTCCTGGCTCCAGAGAAGTACACATTGAACTTCTGCTGGATGTCGAAGCCCACTACAAGAGAGGAAAAGGAAATAAGTACTTTAGACAGTGCAAGACATGATGTACAACCGCAAAAATTATGAATTTTAATGTTATGACAAAAATGACAAATTACGTAAAATAGGATTTTTTTTTGATTTGGATTTTAAATCTGTAACAATTTTTACCTTAACAAAAACATAACAATTGAATCAATATCTAATTAAGCTTGAAATAGATAATCTTGTTTTTCAGTTATATATAATAAAGGTTGTGCTGTAAAATGATATTGTTACTCCCTTTTTAATATTTCAATGTATATCTAAAAAAAATTTTTTTTTAATTAATTAATAAATAAACTGATGATTACAGTAAATTCAACTGTAAATTAATATTTCCACTGTCTTAGTTACCATATTCTGAGCTGATGAGATTGACACTGATCTCCTCTCCATTCGAGGCCTTCGCCACCTCCATCTTCTTT